TTTATTCGTACCATCTGAAAAACCTTCTGGTTGGCTCATGTAGATAGTCTCTTCCAAACTTCCATATAGGAAGGCTGTAGATACATCGAACTGTGACATCCACATCCCTTCCATTGCTGCTGTACTGATGGCTGCACGTATGGTTCCCCATTTTGCTACAGGACTAAATGTTGAATTGTAATCAATTCCTTGTCGCTGGCTGAAACCCTTGACTACAAGTCTTGCCTTATACTTGTCAACACTACCATCAGGATTTTCTTTGACTCTGTATACCCACTTACATTTTATAATTTTTTCATTTTCTGGTCGTTTGGTGACTTCCCATGTATTGTTTTCTCGTAAAGATTCCATTTCCTTAAGCATTGCTTCCTTCCACTTCTCCTTTTCTTTACAAGAAATTGCCTCTTCGTATGTCTCGGGGTTGAACCTTTCATTTAACACTTCTGATATCATAACATAGTCTTCTAGGTGGGATGGTTTCTTTAAGGTAGTTCTATCTCTTAAAGAGCGAGTTTTTGGATCTTCTGATTGCACCTCTTCACTATCTTCACTTTGAGTCTCATCTTCATAATCCGACTGACCACTTGTGTTTTCTAAAGCTCCAGTGCTAAAGCTGTCACCTGTCTCGGATTTAGAGTCTTCATGAGATTTGATGCATCTTATTGGATTCTCTTCGAATACCACATCTCTTGACAGTGCTATTGACCTTGTGCCTTTTATCCACACTCTGTATCTCTCATCACCGTCGTAACCCACTAAGTACCCTTTAACTGCTTTTCTATCCATCTTGGTTCTTCTTTGTTTCGGTATATGTACATAACAAGGGGTTCCAATTATCCTGAAGTGTTTCAAACGCGGCTTTTTCTTGATCCAGAGTTCATAGGGGCTTTTCCCTTCTTCCTTTGACTTTCCTGTTCTATTTAAAATATACACTGCCGTATTTACCAACTCACCCCAAATTTCTTCTGGGAATTCTGTTTCCTTGTTTGCATACATAAGTGTCCTTGCCATCTCAATAACTGTGCGGTTTTCACGCTCGGTATTCCCGTTCTGTTCAGGCGTATAGGGAGCTGTTAGCCGATGAACTATACCATTTTTGTTGAGAACATTCCTAACCTTCTCATTATCAAATTCTCCTCCATTATCACTGAGGAATTCATGCACAACATGTCCTAAGGCCTTTGCCTTCCGTATCACATCTGTTAAGATACTTTCCACTTCTGATTTTTCCTTCAACAAAAACACATATCTGTATCTAGAGTAATTATCCTTAAATAGTGCAACATACCTCTTTCCTTGAAAGGTTGGTTTGAATGGACCACACACATCTGCAGATAAGAGTTCTCCTTGAATTGTCACTTCGTTTCTTCTTCCAAAGGGAAGTCTATGAGCCTTTCCATACATGCATGGTTCACACACAGAACTATCTACCCTTACTTTTATTTGAAACTCCTTTTCAAGGATATTCTTTATGTGTCTTTTATCTTGGTGTCCAAACCTCTCATGGTATAGCTGAAGAGTGGAATCATTAGTTGTAACAGAATTTACTTCAATTTGTCGCTCTGGCATAACAGGCTCAATTAGGGCTTTGTACAATCCACCTCCTGTGGAACGCTTTCCTTTTACTATCTCCTCTCCATGGACTTGCAAACTGCATGTGTTAATACCTGATATGAATCTACTTGATGGGTTGGCTTCATGAGCTGTTAGGACAGAAAAAAGATTCTTGACAAGGTCAGGCACAAATAACACATTCTTTAGTAACAACATTTTATTCTTGTTTCCTAGGTCTGACTTCACTTTCATGTCTCCAGCCCCAACTGCTTGTAGCGGAGCTTGACCTGCTTGAATAATGTCCTTTGGCTTCTCAAACCCTTCAAAATTTATGAAGTACTTGGAACAATTTGTCATGTGTTTTGTAGCACCATTGTCAATCCACCACTCTGTACCCTTAACCTCAACTGTAGAGCAAATCTCACAATCAGAAGCTACTGTTCCAATTATTACTTGAGCACTGTCTTTACTACTTTCTTTTTCTTGATTTCCTCTTTGAGGACAGCCATCACGTATCCACTTCTTGCAAGTTTTCACCCAGTGTCCTTTTCTTTTACAGTAATTGCATGTGTCGTTTTTCTTTGATTTTGGCTTCCAGTTATGTCTTGCAACAGAGGCCTCCTGTGTAAAATTCTCAACTTCTTTCACTGTTTCTTGAATCGGAAATTTTACAAAATTTCTCTCGAACATGCATAACTTACTAGTCAATTCATCTATTGGGTTGTCTTTGCTTTTTCCTATAAGCATCCAACTAGACTTGAATGACTCAAATGACTTTGGTAGAATACTCATAACTTTGCAAATAAACAATAGGTTAGGCAGCGCATGTTCCTTCGTTGCCACCAAACCACCGTTTAACTCATTCCACAAGGTTAAAAGTTTTGCTACATGTGTTGATACATCTTCTTTGTCTGACCAACTGAAGGCGAAGAAATCACTACAAAACTTAAACAATTGATCTTCTGTACCAGCCTCAAATTGCCTTTTGAGAGTCGCCCATACCTCACGTGCCGTGTCCTTATCCATTATCTTTTGATACACTATATCTGTAACTGATGCTGTGATCATGGATTTGGCATAACTGTTTGCCTTTCTGTAGTAATCCAACTCTATTTTATACTGTCTCTGTTGTGCTGCAGTCGCGTTCTCTTCAAGTGGCTCCGGTTTTGTTATTTTACCATCAATGGCTTCTAGGGCTCCCTCATGGTAATCCATAAGATCCCTTATTTTCCTTTTCCACACAGGCCAGTCTGCACTGCTACCTAGTGGTTTAAGTTTCTTTATGAAATCCATTCTTCTTCGGATTTTCTTCAATGGCGAATAACCCGCTCTTGTGAAGGACTGACGCACTTCTAACCTATCACAGCTCACTCATTACGCAAAAAAAAAGCCTGGGCCCATAACCTGTTATAGTAAAAACGCTACACTTCAGTTGTTAACATGTCCTTATGGTTTATTATTAATAAACAAGAGGAGAAGCACTGCTTCTCTGTAATAAAAACAAAGCATGTCTGCACTTTACACGTTACATCAGCATTCTGCCTAGCTTCATCATGGCTACCAACTTCATAACTTTTCTTCATCAATATTACAATCTCTCAACATTATTGACCAAGAAGATGTGTTCTAAATCTACCAACCTGGCGGAGATGGTGAAGAATAATTTATCATCATGAAATAGGAGCTATTAAATTTCCTGCTTCATGCCTGCTGGCCATACTTTAATTTAGAGGCAATGATATTAGTATTGAACAAGAAGTTCTGGGGAGAACTGATCATCTGTTTTCCTTTGATATGGCTTGGAGTGCATAGAATTTGACGAATCCAGCGATTCTTCTATTCCATGTATATTCATTGACATGGGAACATGTTTACCAAGCCAGTTCCTACCAGTGATGGGGAGGGGAATACACATAGACAGACAGCAGGGTGATCTCAAAAGTAGGCATATGAGGTCACCTTGCTTCTTGTGTGTCTGCATGTGTATCCCCAATAATTGCTAGGCAACGGCTTGGTAAACATGTTCTGTGGCACTGAATACATGCACAGTGATAGAAGGATTGTTGGATGCATCATGTTCTATGCGGCCCATGTTGTATTGAAGGAAAGTAGGTGATTAGCCCTTCCCAGGACTTCGTGTTTCAAAATAGGGAAAATATGGGTAAAAGTGCAACACTGCAGTGCATTCGCCCCAAAAAGGGATGCAGGGCCAATAATAGCAAACAGTGGTATAGAGTAGCACAAGGTGCTTAAGAAAGAGTCTCTCGTACTCTCTGTGATGTGAAGTCTTTTCTCATGGTTCTCATGGTGAGATGGGGTCTGGAACTTAGCTTTTTCCTGCTAAAGTTCAGGGTCAAATGTGGAAACTTCTGATATATCTTGTATTGTGGTATATAGTTGCACTTAATGGAATTATGATGTTAATATTCTTCGCTTTAATAAAGCGGCATTTTAATTAAAATCCCCTGCACATTGATCAGAACTTGAATATATATTTTAACATAGTGATGCATTAAAACTTGTAGAAATATCTTAATTCTATAGTATTTAAATCTTTCAGAATTAATATCTAGCATAGCATGTCTAGAACAAAGAGCCATATTTTGGGAGAGAAGGTTTCTCATTACAGTCTGTGAGACATTTGGGACTGGGTGCTTCACACTGATGTGGGGGGGGGACTTCTCCCAAGAGTTGTATTTGATTCAGGACATAACATTTTTTAACATCCTTTTCTCAATTGTTAAGTGTGTCATGTCCTGAGATTACTTTTTGATGGCTTCATCTGATTTATATGCTGTAGATTTTCTTCATTTGGCAAACATGGATGAAGTTCTGATCAGTGTGTATTATATCAAAGGAATTTTAGAGGACATATCAGCACAGAACTAACCTGGCAAGAAGGATGTATGTACATAACTTACACTTATTATTAGTTCTTTCTTTTTATAAACATTTAAATAAGCATGGATTCTTTAGTTTCAATTATGCCTGTTGTGAACTGTATTCATAACTAGATATAATATACAAAGGAAGTACATAAAAGTTTGAAAGTGTTTCATGTTTTCACAGGGTAGTGCCTACAGGAGAAATAATGTAATACATGGGAAGCTTATGTTTCGGTAAATTTTGCTTGATTATACAACTTTTTTTTTAATGCTAGTGGGGTGGGACTAAGTCTCTTATACTGCAGCCACTTCTGGCCTATTGTACCAGCCCCAGATGATAGGTGAGGGTGATTGTGGAGCAGTTGGTGGAATGAAGATTGGCAGGGGAAAGCGAAGTACATGGAGACAACCTGCCCCAGCGCCACTTTGTCCACCACAAATCCCGCTTGTCCAGACCCGGAATCGAACCCGGGCTGCCGCGGTGGGAACCCAGCAACTAACCGCTTGAGCTATGGCATGACCCTGGTTATATAACTTTGTTCTGGTTTCTTTTATTGATAGGTAAAGAAGAGTCAGAATGAGTTCGGTTGGGAATGCTGGAGGTGATAATCGAGAGACAAACCAAGAGAGACACCCAGTTGACCTGGCAGCTAAGACAACAGTAAAAACCACTGTGGAATCAACTAGGCCAGCTTCAGTCAGTATCAGGTTTTATTCCAAAATGTATAAGAAATAACCAACAATCCGCATCGTTAGGTTTAAAATATTCTTTGTTGAAGAATGGGTAATGTTTTATTGAATAGTGTGTGTGAATTACACATGTATAGCTAGATCAGTACTTGACATTTCTGGAAGCTGAGCCATTCTTTAGCATGTAATTTACCATCTGAGGAAACAAAGTAGACCTTTAAGGTTGTCATGCTATGTGTGTGTCTCCTTTTAACTTTTGAACTAATTAACTGAGCTTAATGATGTTGCATTTTAGCGTCCTGTTGCACTGATTCATATTCATAATGTGTATATATTAACATTCTTCAAGTGCATACAATCCCATCTACCACTTCTACACTACATGTTTCGGCAGTATGCTGCCATCTTCAGGTGCATCGACCCGTTAACCATTTCACTGCTTGCCTTTAGACGTCCATTGACAAATAATACTAAACCTGGATACGTCCTTATATAATAATAAAGTTTATGTATTTAAAACTTGTTAAAACTTATCATTTCATACATCATATTTTTAAAATTCGTGTGTATTATTAATCACCCACATGGGGGTGGTTCTTCTTATGTTTCTAATGTTGTGTGTATATTGTGTCTCATGATGTGTTCTACTCTTGTGGCTGTGTGTGTTGTATCCAATGACACAACGCACGCAGCCACAAGAGTAGACCTAGAGCAGGTATCCCTGTGAAATTTTAAATTTTAAAATTAAAAAAAAAAAGAAAGATTTTAATTTAAATTGAAGATTTAAAAATACCAAAATTCAAAAATCAAATTGACGTATGTAAATTAACAAAGATTTTATACATATCTGACAAATATCAGCAAGGGGATTCTGATATATCGGGACCTATTAACAACGGAGAAATGAACAATTAAGAAAGCTGGTATTTTTAAATTTTAAACTACATGCAGTGCAACATCTACGTGAGAGAAATACACTTGATGATGGCCATTTACAGCCCAAAAATGTAGTGTAGAAGAAAAGAAGACAAAAGAACTACAATAAATTGTTGCACTTAGGACAGAGTTTGTGTCATACATTGTCGTAGGAGAAGTCTGCCAATTTGAAGCAAACTGAAGATCAGTTTTGTTGTGTATAACTATAAATTTACGTGTTTATGGAAATTAATAGCTATAATTATGCGTGTTTAACATAGTACTTGCCTGATGGAATGAGATGCTGCATTGTATTTTAGATGCAAGCTTCAGGTCAGCTTCGTGGCATTGGTACAACAATAAGTCATCCTGCAACACGAGTACAGAGTTCTGGTATCCAGACTGTTGTCACCAGCAGCTCCACCAGCCAGAGTTCCCATGTTGGATCTAGCCCACAGATACCTCTCAAGCAAGGTGTGTGCATGTTACCTGTCGTTTACAACTGTGTGAAGAGGTTTTAATTTTACAGTTTAAAACTAAATGTACTACATGGAACAGAGTTCTCTTGAAGCTAATAGTTGCTCAGCTAGTAAAGAATTTCAGTGCTATTTATTGAACCTGAAGGTTCTAAAGAACATGCTGTTGGTCCATATCCTGAGCTACATACCCTCACATACCATTTAATATCCATGTTAAAAGTACATATATAAAAAAATTAGTCATTTGCTATGGAGACTGAACAGTTTCTTGCTGAAATAGAAGGTGTGATTAGAGAATAAGAAATGACCAACCACCCAGCCACATTAAATTGACCAACCAGCTAACTACATGGAGCAGAGCTCTTGTTGAGGAGCTAATAATCACAAAGCTACTCTCCATGACATTAACATTCACTATGACACTTTGGTAACTTTCTGTTGAAATTTCCATGAATATTTATAATAATACTGTGGTTTAATTTTCAGTGGGGGTTCCTCGTAGTGCCCTGCCAGTGTGTACACCTTCCAACACAGCTACACTGGTACAGACTGGAACAGCAGCAAGTACTCGTCCTTCTGTTGTGCCTGCAACATCACCACTACCCTTGCAAACAAATGCCACATTGTCTGGTACCCATGTCTCCACAACATATCATGTACCCAGAGGTGCGTTTCTAAAATGGGTGCATGAGGAGTTGGGGGTAAACCTTGAAACTATAGAAATAGGATATCTGATATTATAGATTAGTAGTTGCCTGACTTAGCTGCTGGGTATAATTTTTACTACCTCAACAATGTCACCTGGATGGTTCACATTGTTCAGCATATTAGTTTAGTGTAAACATGACTAGGTATAGCCTATACAGAGAAAAATCATTGGCTTCGTCAATTTATTAAAATAAAGGAAGCTCTTTTGTCAGTACAAGTACTACCGAAGTATTTGTGACTATTGTGTATATCTTTATGTACCTGCTTAAAGGTACTCATCGTCAGGTCCTCTGGCTTATTTAGGAGAAGAAGGTCTGAATAAAAAAGAGTTACTTGATCTTAAGGCAGAATTGCTTAACACAAATGTACAGAGCTATTTCATTATGTGAGTGAAAAACACTGACCAGTGGTTGTGACTGTAAGGGGTTGTGTAGGCACAAGACAATCTTTAACTTCATGTTTTATATAATATCAAGGACACTGAGAATTTTGAATTGTTACTTTTATATTTGCATGATTACTACAAACAACTTGAGAAATATAGCATAAAGGTTCTGATATGTTTACTCAATTTTTGTCAAAAACCAGAAGATTTACAGGAAAATATATTTGGAGAAGTTATTGCCATACCTGTTTTTTTATGTGCTTTATAGTCTGTACATAACTAGAAGTAGGGACACGTGGTAACATAGTTGGTTGAGGCACTATGCTGCAAGCCAGAAGGTCGCAGGTTCAAGTCCTGATGAATTCATTGGATTTTTTTCGATTGAACTAGTTCTTCCAGCCGCACTGTGGCCCTGGGGTTGACTCAGCCTCTTAACAGAAATGAGTACCAGGAACATTCTGGGGGTAATGGGCAGCTGGTGTATAAGGCTGACAGTCTTACCGCTATCTATGAGCCGATTGTCTAGAAAATGTGGGAACCTCAACATCTCACAACCCAGTGGACCTCCACAGCCTGTTACATGGACACCTTTACTTTTACTTACTTTACATAACTAGAAGTTGCGCATGAAAATTATGTATGTCATCCATTTTTGGACAAGTGTACATTATAATGAGCAGTTTTATAAATGTTATGATTCTCATTATGTCAGGGTTGCTCCGTATCTGAAGCATAGTAATATCCATGTAGGACTTGAGGTTCTCACTGTTATGGTGATGGAGAGCACTGTCATCTGAGATGTAATGCTGTGCAGTCCGCTTTAAGTCAGCCGATGTTTTGGCGGAGAGCTGTGCTTGCCACCTGCTTTCGTGCTGGTATCTTGCTCAGCTTATTCTTTGACCCTGTAGATGGAGACAATATGTTCCTCCAGAATGGCAGTTTATTTTATACAGACTACATAATATCGCAGATGATAACTCTTCTAGTAATATTAATATTTGTATAATAAAGCTTCATAATTGTATTCTTCACCTGGTATTAGCATAATCAAATCAAGGATAATTGAATGGTGGGATATGCAACATGCATGGGAGACGATGTGAAATTAACACAGAATTTCAGTCGTAACACCTGAATCAAAGAGAGCATATTAAAGATCTATATATAGATGGGCGGATAATGTTAAAAGAGCTCTAGAGGTAGGTTGAGATATAGGTTATGAGAATGTGTACTAGATTCATCTGGCTCAGGATAGGGTCCAGTAGTGGGCATTTGTGAATGCAAGAATTACTGTTCAGGTTCCAAAACATGTCTGGTTTCTGGAGTAACTGACTGGTGTTTCTTGAGTAACTGCATTTCTTGTTGGTTTCTCAAAAAGGAACCTGCTCCATGAATTTGTTGTATTGAAAGTTTTTTGTTTTTTTTGTTTACTAGTCACATTGTTATCACATCTGTTTATGGGATTGTTAACATTAATGATGTATTGAATTGGGTGAGAGCAGTTGTAGTCTAGTGAACACCAAAGAAGGAGGAATATTTCTGTGTGCTTGTAATATTTTACTGATATGTGCTACTTAAAGGTGCAGCAGCAGTTGCAAACATAGCTGCCCCACGAGCAGCTGTGGCCACTCCTATAATAAGATCCACAACAAACCTCCAGTCTTCAGCAGGCACCCAGCACACAACTAGGTATGTCATTCAGGCCACAGAACATACAGTCTTTACCTGTAGCTCAATTAATTTGAAAAATAAATTTCTTGAACAGTTTGTAGTTATGTAAACAAGTGCCATACTTACCCAGCCACCACATTCCCTGGAATAACAAAATGAATCCAATGTGGGAAGTTTTTGTTAAATTCGAGGACCACCGCTTTATATATTGCTTGTGAAGTCTGGCTGTTAGGTAACAGCTATTCTACAAAAAAGAAATTGTCACTCACCTTTAGTGTGGTAGCCTCCACAGTGCTTGCATTCTGACCTCCCCTCCATTGCTAGGAACATTGTTTGGAATTATTTTTCAAAAGTCATTTTGGCGCTGTAATCACTTTGTTCTAAATTTCTTATAGTAATTTAAAATTGGACATTTTCAAGGAGATTTTCAGTTTCAGGAACATGAACATGGGGACAGATCAGGTGAGGAAGATGGATTTGCAACATGGTGTTTTTTAGTCAAGAATCTCTATATTCAGAGTTCTGTATGGGAAGGCACTTTGTCATGATGAAAAATCGACCTGTCTGGCCAAAGATTTGGTCTTCTTTGATGAATGAACTGTCAATAAACATTCCAAGACTTGAAAGCAGGAAGCTCAGTTTACAGCTTTGAAGGAATGTGTTGGTAATAATAACTTACTGTAAATCATAAAATCGGATCAGTATGCTTTTTACCTTTGCTTTTGATATTCATGGTTTGTCAGTCTCCACAACCTCCAGTGGAGAAGTTCATTGGAGAATCTGGTGATTTGTTTCTTTGCCGTATTGAAGTATCCACAGTTTATCATCAAATGATGTTTTTTAAACATTCCCCCATCCCCACCAAATAAGGTTCCTTCAGTGCTCTTGCTGAAAGCTTTGAGAAAAATTATTCCCATGTTATATGAGCTTTTTCTTTTTTCTTTTTTGCGAGTTTGGCAAACATTTTCATTAGGTACAGATCTATAGAGGAAGTCTATTCTCAGGGATTTCACAGTTTGTGTTTAGTTCTTCCTTCTTCTGAACAGTCAATTGATTATCGTTTTTCATCATTTCAGTTACTTTTCCATGTTTGGATCAATCTTTGAAGTTGTTGCATGCTAGATTTGAAAGTTTTCCCCTCCATGTTGAAATTGTTTGACCCCAACAGAACTTGTGTTCTGCTTATTTGTAAATGTTAGTGACATTCATCTCCAGTTTCCCTAAAATCTTGATGTTAATTGTCTGACAAATTAATTTCTGACAAACAAAGTACTGTGTTAGTAGAACACTCAACTGCAACAATAAAACAAACTTAATCCTAATGGTTTGGCATAGATGGCCTGAATCATGTAGCCATGTGCATATTCTGTCCAGAACTACTGTGGGCAAACTGGTTTTGGGAAGTACTGATTTATACTGTTTTCTTTGTGTATGTGCCAAATTACTTTACTTGTAACTGATATTTTATTTCAGTTTTACACCTGGTTTGCGTGGTTCAGGTCCAAGCAGTATGTTACCTCGAGCTTTGAGCCCTGCATCTCAGGGAACAACATGGTTAAGTGGAAGTATTACTCCAACAGCAACAACAGCAGTGCCTAAGTGTGTGTCTCCAGGACCCATATTAACATCACCAAGAACTTCATCAGTCACCACCATCCAGCAGTATACTCAAGGACGCTCAACATCCATGACAGGTATGAAGGTGAAACTTGTTTAATAATTTTGTATAAATTTCAGTACTCTATTGTATAAAAAGATTCTTAGGAACCTAGTTTTGAAGATATATGTATATACAAGGGCTGCCAGTTTCTGTGACAGATAGTTGGACATAGCTGGTTAGGGTGGAAAGGACTGTTACTATTGTTGTATCCCGGTGATGGGACAGATTGCAGGTTGGCAGGGCGAGCGGTTCCCTTGGGAGTCAGTGCAAGCTGTCTGAGTACTGCAACTTGAAATTAACTAATACATTTATTTGTAATGTGCACAGTTGTAGAGAAAACCCTGTTTGTAAGAAAATCAGTGGTTTGCCTAAGCAAGGGCAGCGGCCAACTCCTGGTATCAGACAACTCGTGCTCCACTTAATGGACACTCAGGCAACATCGATATCAAAAGCATCTTGGTAACGCTCGGTTGAGGTATATATATGTGGTCAAGTTAGGGCGTTTACCCTTCTGGAGTAATCTGACTAGCGTCATTCATTGCATCACCCTCGTAAGTTTTTGGATGGACCACAGCTGTCTTGTTCTTAGTAAAAAAACAAGCTTCTTTCTTGTGACAGCACAGGTGAAGGACAAAGCTGTAATCTTTTGATCCTTCTTGAAGTTAATCTCTTTTACTTCCTGTTGCTACAATCGTTTCCTCATACTATGTATCCATAAGGTACAGTCCTTTCCTCATATTACTATATACCATATAACATATATCAATTACCTTATAAAACAATTCATTACATACTATGTATCCCCATATACCACACAGGTATTAACATATACAACAGTTTATAGTAAGCATCACCATACCTTAGAGAACAATCTATACCTGGTGTCACCATATACAACACTGAGGACAGCAACATAGAAATATGAACTGAAAACAACCTGAAAGACAATAAAATTTTCTACATATACACAAAAGTGCAAATTTTACAAATGAAAATTAACTGTGATTATTTTGTTGTGAAATGCAAAATATAATCTTTATTATATATATATGTTACCTGTTTTTTTTTCTTCAACCTTGAATCATGTTGATATTGTAAATAATATTTTGTTCAGACTGTACACAAGTTTGAACTGCGTCGCTTCACAGTTTACGATACACTCTGATGCGCAGTTCCTCTCACACAAAGCAACATCGCACTCTTTAGAATAGAAGAGTGTGCTCCTGCTTTTTTTATTTAACGAAACACGTGACATCTTTTTTCCCCTTTGGTTGGCCAGTGTTGTGGATGTTTCACCTCCAGTCGACTCAGTTGGGCCCCAGGTAACCTTCGCCTCCCCCGAGAAACTCCACTGACCGTGAAATTCGCCTTGTGCGATTGAAGAATCGTCTTGGGGGAGGGGGGTTCTAGCAAAATCAAATAAGTTATGTTTATTGACAAAGCAACACACTCACCTATTAGTAATACTCGCAAAATAGTGATTCAGAGTAATTACAATACTAGTCGAAAGGAGTGCCAGTCCGACACTGATACCGAAAGTCACAGTGGCAAAGATGCCTTTTACTCACAAAGTAATACTGGCTCAGTGGGTTTATACCTCTTCCCAGACACAAAATAAAAATGATATACAATGAAATATATGACAGTCTGACACTGACTTTCTGACTGATAAAGAAATATATGACAGTCTGACACTGACTTTCTGACTGATAAAGAAATATTAGACAGTCTGACACTGACTTTCTGACTGATAAAGAAATATTAGACAGTCTGACACTGACTTTCTGACTGATAAAGAAATATTAGACAATCCGACACTGACTTCCTAACTGATAATTCGCCACTGAAAACCAATCCTTGAATGCGTCAGACTTCCTTGAAGGCTCTGGAAGAACTCATATGCAAGCACCAATGAATATTTCCTCATCAGTTCTCGAAAGAAAGCTGGGCTGTATTTGGTTGACCAGGTCATAAACAGTCATATCTAAACGTAAATATTATCGAAACAAGTACCATGATAAACGATTTCATTGTTCAGAGCTAAGGAATGAACCACTGACATGACCTTACGAGCGTTTGTTTTGGTTTCAAACCCAAGGTCAAACAGCACTACCAAAGAGAGCACATGTCCTGCCACACACACACACACATATATATATATAACATTTGGCCAACTCGGGTTGCTGCTTGCTGCATATATATATATATATAAAACATTCAGCCATTAGAGGTTAAATTAAATGCAGTGAAACCTTAATTTAAGGCATGTTTGGGGGATAAGCTTTTTGTACCTTAAATGGGGGTTTTGTGAAACAGTTTAAAATGAAAGTTAAACTTTATTTAATCGGCAATAATAATCAGTTAGCAACGGAGAAATGAAGAATTGGGAAGACTAGTGATTTTAAATTTTAAACTACGTGCAGTGTAGCAGCTACGTGAGAGTATACACCTGATGATGGCCATTTACGGCCGAAACATGTAGTGTAGAAGAAAGGAAGACGAAAGAACTACAATAAATTGTTGCACTTAGGACGGAGTTCGTGTCATATATTGTGTAGAGTGTAACAGGATGCTTAAATATAATATTGAGGAGTTGGAGTTCAAGTCCCAGTAGGGTCAAGAATTTTATCTTCATGTTATCCAGAGCAGATTTGGGGTCCACCCAGCCTCCTAAAGGGGTACCAGAGGCTCTATCCCCAGGGGTAAAGTGGCAGGGGCATGAAGCTGAGCACTCACCTTCAGCTGGTGCCAAGGTCTAGAAAATGTGTATCTTTACATCCACTTCCCCATTTGCCTGCATGACGTATTGCTTGATTAGTTAAGCACAGGGAACAGCTTTGCCTTTACCCTGCTCATTTAATAAAATAAAAGCCTTTCCATTTCTCAGAGTGTGTTCCACCAATTTTCCTGTTCAAGAGTTGAGGCTGTCTGTAAAGTCATATTACTTAAGGTTGACAGAGGCAGCACAGAACACTTCACAATTTATTTTCAACACCATTACTTCAGAATCACTTCCAAAAAACTACAACACTCAAATGCAGCATAAAAAGAACAATCTAGTAACCACATCCAGCTGAGAAATGGGTTGAACAAAGAATGGGCGACAGCCATGCTGTATTGTACCTTGTGAAAATGATGGCCTTGAACTCAGCTAGGGTGGCCAAGTATGGGCTGGGACACCAAAAATTCTCTTCAACTCTAAAATGAGATTTTAAACATGTACAAGAGTGAAAGTTTTGCATGTAAAAGGTGGTATACCCTTAATTTGTGGAAAAGAATACGTTAGGCATATGGAGCTTCGGCTGGGACCACAAGAGATCTACCTAAAATGTGGGAAAACATAGAAAGCTTGTCCCTTAAATTGGGATTTTACAGCATGGGAACAGAAGTTGCCATGTCATTGTCAGTTAAATTTGCTGTGTTGGGTACATTATTATATTCAGTACAATCAGGAGTCTATATTCATATCATAATTTAGCATTAATATTTGAAAGTGTGTCGGGCTTGGGGAAGTATGGCAGTTACATTGCTGGGTTTAAAATGACAATCATAATTACACCGAAAGGATTGGAAATTGCACATTTTCTGTTATGCAGCCATAATTTTTCTGACCCCAGCCTAACTTGTATAATTAAATTCTGAAATGTAGTTCTCATATTTTCTACCCACCACACGTTTAAGACTTTTGTGTAAAAAGTGAAGATGATATATGAATAGGTATGGTAATAGTTGTTTCATTGAATAAGTTCTCATTTCAGGTTACTGAATTTTGTGTCTTCAGTAACAGTTTACTCAAATATTACTGAACTCTTATTTACAAAACTGGTTTTTCACTCCAGCCAAAATGTAACACAAGGCCTCACTGTTGGATAAATTAAGGAGCTTCATAATTTGTATCATTCATATATTATTAGGCTGAGGAAAATGAGATGGGCGTGACATATAGTGCAAATGAGAGATATGGGAAAGACATGCAGACTTAAGTTAGAAACTCCAAAAGTAGGATTCCACTAGAGAGATAAGTGTAGATGGGAGGATAAAATTAAAATGGCTCTTAAATGAGTAGGGTGTGAGGATGTGGGCTGGATTCATCTGCCTTAAGATAGGGTTCAGGGTGGACTTCCATGAATACTGAAGAACCTTTGGGTTCCATAAGAGATAGGATTTTTTGATCAGCATGAGTAACCATTAACTTGTCAAGGATCAACTGCATTTAGTTCAGCTTTCAGAATAGGTTTTAATGTGCACTATAATTATTAAACTACAGTGAAGATAATGTTATCAAATATGTTATCTTTTATGTGGACTGATGATAATGCATTGTTTCTGTTATCTGTGTAGTAACTGCTAGACCATTAACTCCACAAGGAAACAGAATGCAGTCTGAATCCCCACGGCCTCAGCTCATACATGCCTCTGCACAGAAACCTATTGCTGTCACACAGACTGGCACACAGGTAAACCATGGAAGAGTTGTGAGATTGAAAGTTCTCATTGCAATTACTGTGACGATACTATCTTTGGTGATGTGATGCTGTATATGTTTTTAAGTTGGTTATTTAGTGATGCTGTCAGCATTGGTACATAGATGTTTATCAGCATTTCAGAGGAACATGCCACCTCAGTCTTCAGCTTGATGCATTTGGTAAGAACTATGTGCAATAAGGATAGCTTTTGTGATGAACTGACATTTTCAAGGTCACTCAGAATGGCTATAGCAGCTGGCAGAATTGTTCGGTTCTCACTCCTACCAAGAGTGTTGCTTTACGTAGTGATGATCCTGTATTGGTTGGCTTTCTACCCTGTGTCAGTATGATCTTCAGCCACATTAAGTTGACGCTGACTGACTACTTCATCACTTAGCCTCCCACTGAAGAAAGCTTCCATCTTCCTGTGGTTGATTATGGATGACCTAGGGATGAAGAAACCAGGAGCATAAAACATTGCTTGCTTGTGGTCAGATGTGTATTGGAAGGACTGGATGTTCAACTGTGATTAGGGTCAAAGAGCAAGCAGCATTGCATATTCAGCACCATCATCAGCATCAACCTTGGACATCACATCAAAAACTTCTCATGTATTCCATGTATAAGTGTAGGAAGCCTGAGTTTAGGATATGCTGTTATTTTGTTCTTGAACCAGGCTATTAGACCTGGTGTAATCTTCTCTTTTCTAGGCATGGACGCTTCCTTGAGCAGGGTGTGAACTCTTGATCTTGTTAGAGCCTCCTTTTACTCATCCCTTCTACACACTCCTATTAGATTTATTTTGTCTCACTTCTGTGTCTTCATTCCTCCTTTCACTCACTGCCCTTTGTATCATCCCCTGTTAATGTTCTGCATTTTATACCACAAGTCTGCTCTTGATGTGTGACTCTTCTGGTGATCCTATTTCCTTAATCTCTTTCTCGTAACTTCTGGCTCCCTCCAATTAGTTCACACAGAGCCATTTACTTACTTATTTACTTACGGAGCTGAGCCCTTCTTGAGGAGCCGCCAATTCTGCAGCTACTCAAGAATTTCCCAGCATTTTATGGAACCCAAATGTTCATCACCATGTTCACAAGAGGTCTCCACTGGTCCACATCCTGAGCCATATTTATCCAAACCATACCATACCATCCTATCCCTCTAAGATCCATTCTAATATCGTTCACCCACCTACGCCTTGGTCTTCCCTGTGGTCTCTTTCCTTCTGGCTTTCCCACCAATATCCTATATGCATTCCTCATCTCCCCCATTCGTGCTACATGACTTGCCCACCTCATCCTCCTTGACTTGATCATTCTAATTATACTTGGAGAAGAGTACAAGTTATGAAACTCCTCATTATGCAGTTTTCTCCAACCTCCTGTCACTTCATCTCTCTTCAGTCCAAATATTCTCAACACCCTGTTCTCAAACACCCTCAGTCTATGGTCACCCCTTAATATCAGAGACAAAGTTTCACACCCATGTAGAACCACAGGCAAAATTATAGTTTTGTATATTCTAATTTTTATGTGTTTGGACAACAGACCAGAAGACAAAAGGTTCTGGACTGAATGGTAGCAAGCATTACCTGAGTTCAATCACCTCATAATTTTCCTCCTGAATCAGGTTTCGATCTGTTATCATTGTTCCCAAATATCTGAACTTTGCCACATTTTCAAAACATCTGTTTCCTGTCTTTATGTCATGATTTAGCCCTGCATTCTGGTGATGAGACAGTAACATATACTTAGTTTTCTCTGTGTTTACTTCTAGACCAACCTCTATACCTGCGTCAATTAAAGTTTGTGTGTTTTTCTTTATGGTATCTACATTATCACCCAGTAGATTCACATCATCGGCATAGACCAACAGCTGATGTGTCCCATTTAGTTTCAGTCCCACCTGGCTTCCCTGGACCTTCCTAATTGCATATTCTAAGGCAAAGTTGAAAAGGAATGGCGATAAAGCATCTCCTTGTTTTAAACCATTCTGGATAGGAAATTTATCAAACATATGTTTACCTACACAGACTTTACTATACGTTTCGTTTAAACACATTTTAATCAACCTCACTAGTTTCATGGGTATCCCAAATTCTATCAAAATATTGTACAATCCTTCCCTCCTAACTGAATCATAGGCTTTCTTGAAGTCTGTGAATAGCTGATGTACTGTCTCATCATACTGATGATCCCCAATAATTTCATCTATATATGGACTTAACCCTGAAAGAAGAATATGGGACAAAATTTTATATGAAGTTGATAGCAGTGATATCCCCCAATAATTACTACAGTCAGTTTTATCACCCTTCTTGTGAACTGGTAAAATAATAGACTCCTTACACTGATCAGGCAATTTTTCCTCATGCCAAATAGAAGTAATTAGATTGTGGATCTTAGAACATAATATTTCGCCTCCTGCTTGAATCAGTACTGCCGGAATTTGATCACTATCTGGCGATTTATACCGTTTCAATTTTGCAATAGCACTTTCATCCTCAAAAGGGCTAGGATCAGGTATTAACGGCTCAGCT